GGGTCAGACACATTGCGGCGCTGAAGAAGAAGGTTATCAAGAGCCGCCCCGCGCCGTTCCTCAAAAGGTTTCTTCGTGTTTCGTTGTGATCAAAGCGCTTCGCATGGTGGTGGTGGTTATGCCGCTGTTTCTTGGGCTGTAGTCCGCCCTCCAGGTCCAAGGCTGAAGTGCTTATCTTGGCATATGCGCCGTTTTTAGTCTCTATTATCTCTGGAGAAGTGACTGTGGGTGGTGAGTAGAGTGAGCTATCGATCTGTTGCATGACAACATTTCCACTGTCGTAGCTCGTTGTGTCGAGGGGTGCTATCAACGGCTCGTCGTCGTCGTGTGCATTGCTGGTTGCGCGACTGCGCTCCATCTTTGTCCTTCAAGGGACCGATTGGTTGGGGATTTCGAGTTTCGAGTCTGACAGTCGATACTAAAATCTGTGTAGAGTTGTACTCCTAGCATATGTTAGAAGAAGCACAAAGGACCAGGATATCAGCGTATAGGGCTGACGGAAGGCTGCATACAAGTCTGATATCAATGGTCAACCAAATTAAGTTGTATGCATGAGGCCCGTATATGCGCGAATCGAGCTCAGAAATACAAAATGCAGTGTAGTTGAAGAGAGTTGCCCCGAATTACCACAGAGGGTCTGATTGAGGAGCAGAGCAGCGATTGCGATGAGGATAGTTCTTAAACAAAATACGCCGTCCTTATCGACACTTCGTCCTGTCCCACTGGCTATCGCGTTTGGGTGCTGGGTCTAAATTGGGGGCTGAAAGATGGGGGTGGGTGGCCTGAGGAGGCGCACCCACAAGGCTCTCTCGCGTCCGACCTAAACAAGCTGAAAAGTGCGTAGACTGTGACTGGAGAGCAAGCGTAAAGTTACCATGGTACGCGCAAGCACACAATGGATAGATGGATATTTTTATCTTTACAGCTCTTGTCTTTGCAGAACTACACGATCAGTAGCACATCGACACAGCCCCCGTACCCCGCCTCTATGTACCACAGAGTTGCGCTCATATCACAATCTCAAATGCTGTGAAGCATATACCATAAGTAGAAGGCCGCCCAACTAGGGACGTTATTGTTAGATCATGCAATTTGGTGGCCGCGAGACAATTCGACAAGGTTGATCTTGCCGTTGTGCATTTGTACTGGCGTAGCCACGTTGAGGAATCGTGTGGGGGCGGAAACAACCACTACAGTACACGCTTGACGCGACAACAAGGAAATCGCACGGTTGCGAAGAGGGTCCTCGGAAGCTTGAGTCCAGTATAGCTGGGATCATATAGAGCTGTTTCAGGAACACACTGGGGTCTGCATAATCAATGCGAGTCGCGGTGGGAGGAAAGAGTATCAACGGCGTTGCCAGATGTGGGAGGCGGGAATCATGAATTGGGCATTTGTGTGCGTGTATGCATCACCCAGGTGTGGTACAAAGGCATAGACATGTTGAATGTGGTGCATTGTATCTGTTTCAATGTAGTTTTGAAATGATGGACGTAGTTGGTTATGCAGGAAACGTGAAGGATAGGCTGGCATGTGTAGACGATGTTACTCAAGTGGGTCCGCAACTCCAAGGCGAACCGCACGTTTTCAGGCGTCCGAAAATCTTGCAACATAACTCCAGACTATTAAGCATTAACTAAATTCTCTGGCACTATCCCGTATCAATACACAGTGCTTGACCGGAAATATTCCGTAGGTGTATGTCAGCGAAAAAACAAAGCCATGCCATCCTTCGTGGCCGGATAGATCGTCACTTCCCCACATATGTACCACAAGATGACAAATGTAATACGGAGACCAGGCGTGCAGTCTATTGCCTGATAAGGATGAAAAGTACAGCTAGTTGATATTTCAACTCCTCTTCCAATTCCACCATACACCATCCTTCACCATCGACCACCAGCAACCATGTCCTCACCAAAAGTCACCCTCTTCGACCTCCCCAGCAGACAAGGCACAACATGGTCTCTGAACCCCTGGAAAAGTATGTGACTTTAACTCCCTCAACATAGAAGCAATGTCCCAAAATGTTGAACAATCGCCTCCACAGCCCGCATAGTCCTCAACTACAAATCCATCCCCTACAAAACTGAATGGGTTGAATATCCCGACCTCGCCCCCAAATTCAAAGCCCTAGGCATCCCTCCCAACCCTGAGGACGCCCCAGGCTACTTCACCGACTACAGTAGCCCGGCAATCCAGTATGAAGACGGCACATACCAAATGGACTCGTGGCCCATTGCGCATTCCCTCGAGAAGCAGTATCCGAACCCACCCCTTCACCTCGAGGAACCAATTGTAGTCAAGATCCGAGATTTCATCAAGGACTTGATAATACCGCTGGTTCCCTTGGTGCTAACGCAGGTGCCTGATGTGTTGCTGAATGAACCCAGTGCAAAGTACTTCTTGGAGACGAGAAAGAAGACCTTTGGGAAGCCGTTGGATCAGGTGCGGGCCGAGGCTGATGTAGAGACGTGCTGGGCAGCAGCAGCTGGACCGGCGAAGGAGGTGGGGGATTTGCTGAGGGAGAAGGAGGGACCATTTTTCTTGGGGGAGACGGGTGAGTTACATGCAATTTTGTGTCGGAGACATTTGCGGAAGGCTAACGCGGTGGTGTAGTGTCGTATGCGGATTTTATTTTTGTGACTTTGCTGCAGATGTTCAAGCGGATTGATCAGCGTGTGTTTGAGAGGTATATGGCACTTGACGAGACGTTTCCCAAGGTTTTTGAGGCATGCCAGCCGTGGATGGAGAAGCAGGATTAGTGTGGGGAGTGTGTGAACGAGCAAAGACAACAAGTTTGGAAAAGTAAGATATGGTTTATCTATATATCTATCATGTCATATATGCTCCCCACGTACGAACAGCGGTGTATTAGTCCTTTCCAAGATATACACAACGTTGCATACCTTTGGCCGGTACGTCACAGAGCTGTCTTTCTCATCGACCTGTGCTTGAGATTCTACATTGTCGATTTCGCGGCGTTCGACCAAGCGCCACAAGTCAGCAGGATGCGGGAACATCATACCTTTAGGAACCACATCTGATGCGGCATCAAGGACATCAAAGCGGTCTTGCGAGTACGACAAGGCTATCCAGCGGGCTCCAGGCTTTGTTACAAGTGCCAAGTTGACTGCCATGACAGCTAATGGGTGTATGGGTTCCTGGGACGCAGCCGAACTCAACTGCATAGGATCATGGGAACGGATTGCTACGGGATATGGCACTGGGACAGTGATATCGTCGCAGCAAGCAATGGCGTCGGACGTCGACTTGTCGACTACAACAGAATACGAGGCACGTGAACATGCACGCAGCAAAGACTTGTAGTCGAGGAGATCGACAACATCCCAACGCATACAAGGCGCATGAACACCCTGAATATTGCCTTTTTGCTGGCTCTGATACTGGTATATTTCTTCCTCGCGGGCCTTGCCAATCTGTATGGCCACGTCGGAGTAGTCCAAGTTGTGGATCTGGCCCGGGCGGTCTACGTGGGAACGCAAATGCAAAGAGAGCAGTGATGTTCCACAGCCTATATGCAGAATCTCGGGTTTACCCGCACGGCTGGAATCCAGAGCATCGACAAGGTAGGGATCCAAGGCATTGGGCTCCTCCAGCCAATCAAAGGGATCCATGTTGGACGTGAAGCGCTCGTCCCAGTAGGCTTGGGATCCAAACGAGGGTGGGGGATTGGAAGGCATTGGTAACAACCTAGAAGGAATTGCGGTCCGAATTATGTGTATTGCGTGGGTATGTCAAATATGTCATGTGCAAAGATGAAGCAAGGAAGAAGAGAAGAAGTATGAAGATGGGCCGGCCCGAGCTTTCTCCGCGCATCTGAAGATCTTTGGAATCCCCACGACCATGTGAACTCACCCACACACCCACACACCCACACACCCCATGGCTACCCTCGAATCGATACCACGCTTCCTCCTCCCGCGGGGACCTCTCCTCCTGCGAGTGCAGCCCCGTGCATTCGCTCAATTCCCCGCTCCGGCAACCCACCGCCGCCATGCCTCGTCCATCTCACCAAAAGGCCTCTCCGAAGAGTTTCGAAGACGGCGAGAGGCACAGCAGGCCAGAGGCACGCCCGTGATACCCCAGCCCGATAAATATCGCCCGCCCTCGCACAGCAAACGCGCGCCCAATCGCCAATTGGAGAACAGAGTCTATGGAGCGCCTTTGTCCGAGGAAGACCGCAAGCGCATGGCAACAAAAAAGTACCCCAACATGATGAGTCCCGAGGGCACCTTTTCGCACTGGTTTTTGCATAACCGCGCAATTCACCTGTGGATCACAATGGTGTGTTTTGCGTCATACTGCTCTCTATACAACCCCCGCTGACCCCACTTCGCAGGGCATTCTCGTCTCCCTCGCAATAGCCGCATGGTACATGGATTTTATCTCCAAGACTAGTTTCGGCCATTTGCTTCCTACGCGCAAGGACTTTATGCGCCACCCTATCGAGTCGTCCTCGCGTTTTGTGGAGGTTTACAAGATGCACATGGAGCACACGTCGCAAATGTATCAGCAACAGCGGCTGAAGAAGGCGGAGGAGATCGAGAAGAGGAAGCAGTATAGGCTTGAGAGGCAGAGGGAGGCAGAGGAGAAGGGAGAGGAGTATGTCGAGGACCCGAGGTATTATGTGGGTGAGGATGGTATTCGCAGGAGGAGGGTTAAGAGGTGGTTTGGTATCTGGGAGTGAGGGCGGGGTTTGCCATATTTTCGGGCATGGTGAGACTCGGCATCAGAGTGGGAGATGTTGAGGGAGCACTGCGCCGCGGCAGTGGGTGGTGTTGGGCAGTCGTAGCGGAAGACGGGGATGAGTGGGGAAGTCAAATCACAGACTGCGTCAAGCAATTCTGTTTCAAGAAATGTACGTTACGACATGTAAGATATAAATTATTAAGCCTGTGCAGCAAACTATACCTGCACTTCTCCATCAAAAACTCTACTCTTCGTCATCCCTATCCTCCCTCCAACCCTCCCACACCTCATCCCCAGGCACCATCCCCAGGCACCATCCCCTTCTCCACCCCCTCCGCCCCACAAAGTTCATCTACTTCTCTCGGCACCCTCCAATTCCTCATCCCCTCCACCCCCGTCGCAAACACCATCATAAGCCCCGCCTCCGTATGCCACCCAATATGACAATGAAACGCCCATATTCCCGGGTTATCCCCCACAAAACTAATTAGCAACCACCCGTACGCCTCTACACTCGCCGTATCCCTTCTCAGCGGATTCGTCATGTCGAAATTTTGCTCGTGGAGGGGCGAAGGAGGATACCCATGTCCTTGAGCTAGCACGAAGAACTTGTAGCCATGCAGGTGAAAAGGGTGGGCTCCGTCGTCGAAGTTTTGGATCAAGAGGGTGATTGTTGATGTGGGAGAGGTGGTTTGATAGGTTAGTTGCTTCTCCCGGGATACCAAGGGTGAAAAGCCATCGTGGAGTGTTTCTGTGCTGTTGGTGGTAGTGGAGGAGTAAGAGGAGAGTAGGGTTTGAAGAAGTGGCGCGGTGCTGTTTATGCGGAAGGAACTGTCGTTTAGGTAGCCTCGGGTGAGGCGCCACTCGCGGGTTTGGAATGAGGAGCGGAGGTAGAGCGTGTGGTCTGGGTCGATGGGGGGTGCTGCGATGGGGATGGTGGGGACGAGGAGGGAGGTGTTTAGATCGCGGCATTCGACATCGATTATTTCCGGCCATTCTTTGCTTTCTGGTGCTGGAATTTGTTGGTCGCCTGTGTTGAGAGGGGGAGAGTAAGATAGTACGGCTCGGACTTCCTCTTGCAACTCGGGTTCTTCGTATGCGAAGCAGTGCGTAACCATTCTCGCTCTGATCCAATACGCCCCTTTTTTCCCCAGCTCTTGCTTTGGTGGATTGAGAATGATGCTATATCGTTGTGCAGGACTAATGTTCAGACGATGAATGCCCATCGGTACAACATCCGTACCATCGACTTCTGTAACAAACACCTCATGCTCATCAATCTGCAGCGCGAACTCTGCGAATGCACCAACGTTGATAACGCGAAGTCTTGTCCTGGCCTCTGGAGAAACATTAAACACCGCATTACGCCGATCCGTAGCATCGCATTCTCTCCCCGGTAAGTCATCGCACTTGCGTGTTCCCCGCCCATTGATAAGTGCAGCCTGCGGAACAGGCTCGTCATTTTCGTTTCCAGGTGCCAAATATTGCTGCAGTAAAACCGAAGAACTATCGTAATAATGATCTGAAAGCATGACCACGCGGTCATGGGTATACGCCATCTTTTGCAATGACTCCCCCTCGTTTCGCCCGTGGATTATCAGCGGGCCAACCAGTCCATCCGACGCTTGCATGCTGGCGTGCGAGTGATACCAATATGTCCCTGATTGACCTGAGACATGGAATCGATAAGTGAATGAATGGCCAGGCGCAATAGGACATTGTGTCACGCCTACGGTGCCGTCCATCCAGTTTGTCCCGTTTTGATACAGGCCATGCCAGTGAATGGATGTTGCGTTACTGGCATGATTATGAATATTTACGACGATTTCGTCGCCTTCGTTGCATTCAATCAAGGGCCCGGGGAAGGTGGCGTTGATGAGTGTCATGGGGCGGTAGACACCGTCCGGGTTGAGTGTGTGGTCTGAGATTATCCATGTGTGTTCGCGTGTTGTAGGTGGTGCGTTGAAGTTCCATCTTGGAGAGAGGATGTAGTCTTCTTCTGGCCGGAGACTTGTTGTATTGGAGGCCGTGAGTGATGTCTGAGGCGAGGGTTTGCTTATCAGAACTTTGTGTGTGAGGACAAGGAGTGTGCATGTTAGGAGAATGACAACGAAAATGGATTTGATCCAATGCCGTCGCCTGTCATATTGCGTATTTCTGGTCCCTTTACTCCAGCCTTGCCCTTGCTCTTCTTCTGGGAAATCATCGTCGTTCATATCATCGTATTTAGAGTCGTGTAACAGGCCAATCTGCTCCTGCATCTCCCGCGGAGCCGTGTCGGACATGTCCTTCATGTGGAAACTCTGGCCGTAACCCATGGTGAGTATCTTGCCAACTCTTCCTCTCCAGTATCTCGGATATGGAAAGGTCCTGTTAACGTGTAATGCAAAAACGTCTAGCATTGCTAAGTCGAGTCGAAGCAAACCAATAACCAAGGATCAGTTCATCATATTTCCCATGGTCCCTAGAATCAGAAAACCGAAAATCCATGACTTCCCTCGCCCCCGTACGAAATGCACAGGGATCCCCACTCACATGTCGTTCAAGGCCCCTGACCAACTTTCGTGCGCATGTCATGTTCTATCTTTTGTGTGCGTCCTCCAATACCCGCCAACTCCTCTAGTCCAATCAGCCCCGCACGTTCAAATGCGGGATCCACACAAAGCTTGTCGACCTTCCTAAAAAGCTTGGCCTTGTGTACGCATGCGAGCCGCTTATTCTAACCGTATGCCACGGGCGAATTATCAACATGTTTATTGGCTCTGGTGATATTAGCACTACTGCAGGAAATATCCCAGTGCGAGCCGATTGATGCCGTGTGACCAGAAAGATGGAAGAAAAAGACAGGCGGCGTCCGAACTTTCTTGAGATGTTTGTTGGGATCCGAGGTTACTCTCGGTGGTATTTCTGAGTAAGTATAGGGGTCCATGAATATGAAGTAGTAAACCAAACCCTGACATACTTGACAGATCTACATTGTCACCATGAGAACTCCGTTCATCCTCTCGCTGGCCCTTTTGGCGAACTTGAGCCCCGTCTCCGCCCAGACAACGGTCAAAGGCAAGGCATTCGACCGCATCGCTATAATATGGCTTGAAAACACAGACTACGATCTCGCAGCCGGCGACCCAAGCCTAGCATGGCTCGCGAAAAAGGGCATCAGTCTGACGAACTACTTCGCCGTCACACATCCCTCCATGCCCAACTACGCAGCCGCGATATCTGGTGACTACTACGGCATCAACCACGACAACATGGTCGCCATTCCTTCCAACGTCTCCACGCTGGTTGATTTACTGGAGGCCAAAGGAATCAGTTGGGGCGAGTACCAGGAAGACATGCCATCTGTTGGCTTTCAAGGAAAATCATATCCAAACCCTAAAACTGGAGCAAATATGTATGTACGGAAACACAACCCAGCTGTGTTATACGATTCAGTAGCGCAAAACACGGACCGGCTAGCCAAGATAAAGCCATTGACGATGTTCAAATCGGACCTGGAAAGCAACAAATTACCACAGTGGATGTTTATCACTCCTAACATGACCAGCGACGGTGAGTCCGCCGCAAGACCATGCTTTCAGCACTCTTGAATAGCTATACTGACAAAAATTCCCAGGCCACGACTCCACCGTCACAGTCGCCGGAACCTGGACCCGAAAATTCCTCGAACCCCTACTAACCGACAAAACCTTCATGAACAACACCCTCGTCCTCGTCACATTCGACGAAAACCACACCTACGGCAAGCAGAACCGCGTCGTGGGCATCTTGCTCGGAGACGCCGTGCCCGCCAGCCTCGTCGGCACAACCGACAACACGTATTACAACCATTACAGCGAGATTTCCACCGTGCAGGCAAACTGGGGTCTCGATACCCTGGGCCGCTGGGACGTAGGCGCAAACGTATTCAAGTTTGTAGCTGCGAAGACGGGGGATGCGGTGCGAGCGTGGTCTGGCAAGGTACCGCTGAGTAACATGTATTTCAATGCTTCGTATGCGGGCAAGCTGAACAACAAGAATACGTCTGTGCCGTGGCCGGTGCCGAATACGGAGGCGGTGTATGCGGGGAGGAGTGTGTTGCCGGCGATTGCTGATGTGTGGGGGAAGCAGGTTGATCGGTCTGCGTATACAACTGCGCTGGAGATTCCAGATGGCATGCATCCTGAGGCCGAGTTTAAATAGTGGGATATTCGAGTTTATATATACAGAGATTGATGATCGGTAGTGTTTTTCCACCATACACCCAATATATTATACCGCCCATTGCCTGCGAGCCGCAGCTTTGGTTTCCTCTTTACTCTTCACGTTCCTCCGCAGCACAGCACCCACGATCTGTATCCTACACACATCTGCATACGCGCCCTTTCCAATCTCCTCAGACCACATATCCGGATGCAAAATCGTATACTCGGCAAGTTCCCCATCTCCTACTTGTTTCAGCTTTTCCAGGAAAGCGTCGTGTCCAGGGTCGGCGGTCGGTATCGCGACGCCGGTATATACAACGATGATTCCGTTCGAACTCAAAAGTTTGATACCTTCCTCCACAATACGAATCGAGATGTCTAGACCAAACCCCGCGCCACCATCTGCATATATAGGCAAGTCCTTGCCATCGACGCTAGAAGCGATGTACGGCGGATTACTCACAATGAGATCAACACCTCTTCCCTTTATCTCCTCGGGCAAAGCAGCATAGAGATTTGACTCGGAGAAATCAACCTGCACTCCTGCCAGTTGCGCATTGACACTGCCCAAGCTGAGTGCTTGAGGATTCAGATCCAGACCCAACACCTTGGCCTGCGGGTACGTTCGTGCCATGTGGATCGCCCCGGCGCCAGATCCGCAGCATACATCGATGACCGAGCTTGGCGCTTGCGGGAGATGCCGCGGTACGGTCTGCAGGAACGAGATAAAGAGATATGTATCCGGGCCGAAGAATACGGAATCTGAGGAGGCGGGGAAAGAAGAGTGGATGTAGTAGAGCGAGGTAGTGTCCGAGTCGTGGTTTAGGAGGTCAGGTAGGTAGAAGTTTGACACGCGGATGGTGGAGCGGTAGGTTTTGTTGTTGTTGTCAACAATGGCTGAGGCTTTGCATAGTTGCTCGAAAATTGCATCGGGTATTATGTTTTTCAGTGTTTCTCTGAGAGTACATTAGTCTCGGTTTAAATGGGATTCTTCAAAGTGCATGACGGAATTTACCTTGTGCATGATAAATTCCACCCAAAGAAATCTGACGCAGTCTGCGCATCTTCTGTCGAGACATTCGAGCGCCTTTTTTGGACTACTCTGCCTTGAGTTTCTGGCGAGGGACATACAAAGACGTAGTTTGATTTCGCCAAGTGCTGGGTGAGTCCCTGGAAAGCGGTCGATTCCGTCATGACCGCTAGAATAATGCAATTATTGTTCCGTGGAGGAATTTACAACACAACGTGGGCAGAGGCGCGGCCGTTTTGTCTAGACCGAAGCGCGTGGTTAAAATGAATGGCATGCAGACAGGCGCACTACGCCGCGGAGCGTAGGACGAGTCAATGTGACGTCGAGTTTCTATATTAGACTGCAATGACGAGGTTTACTTTTATCCTGCTCGCGTCTTGGCCTACGACAACGGAAAATCATTCTCGGAAATGTGATGCCGTACAGAGTGAATGCGAATGGGGGGAATGCAAAGAGCCTCTGCTTTTTTTGAGTGATGATCGCGCTAAACCAGTATATAGATGCTAGTACGTGCAAAACGGACAATGTTGGTGGCAGAAATAAACATTTTGTGCATTGCGGGGTGCGTGCTGGCTAACCTCATGTCGTCTAGCTTACGATCGTATGGGTCCGTGATGGTATTGACAGAGCGGGTACCAGCTGAATTGTACACCGTCACCGTTGGCAGCATGATTTGCGCGGCGCATCTACCCGCAGATGGATCTTCCGCCACATCTGGGCCGACTATGGAAAATAAATGTATAACATTCCCCGATGGCCAGCTTGGGGGTCCAGTTGTACCTGTAGACATTACAAACCACAACACTGCCGCGCCACAATGTATATTCTTCAAACAACTACGGCCGTTCTGATTGCATTCCTCGCGATTCTTGCATACAATGAAGTTTGGAATCGTCTAGCGAGAACCTGGCCTAGGAGAAAAGACTTGGAAACACCACACAGTCCTACCAGACCTATTACCAGCGACATCAAGCCATTCATTCCGGATCCCAGTTTGAACAAGTCTCTGGATTCCGTTGAACCTGATGTCATCGACGAAGATTTAGCGAGATTCAAGCAGCTCTACTACAAGCTACACAACCTGGAGTACCATCCTGAAATCATACCCGAGTGTCGCGGACTGCTTTTAGAACTACTCTCGTCGACGATTGCCGACGCAATCAAGGAACCGGACAACACCATTCTATCTGTCGAGCGCTTTTCACCCGATACTTTGAAAGACTTTCTCGCAGCAAAAGATGCCGATGTCACTAACCGATGGGAGGAGTACCTGGCTCGGCGACGAGGTGGAGAACCGCGTGAGATGTTCGGAGACAAAGAGGAGGCGAAATGGTGGCTAAAGCAAGCTGCCCCTGTCAAATATGTTGATGGCGCTTGGCTCGGACACATCAATAAGATGAGCACGCCATTCAAGTACCGTCAGATCACCAAGAACGCTTGGCAGGTTATGTCAGAAGAACTAGGAGACGGGGATATTGCAAAGAACCATGTCCATGTCTACCGGGAGTTGATGGAAGACATTGATGCCAGGTTACCTGAGGCCGATTCGCAAGATTTCATTCATCCCCGTCATAGATTGAACGAAGTGCGGTGTTGGAAGGCCGCCATGGCCCAACTTACGATATCTCTGTTCCCACATGACTTCCTGCCCGAGGTCCTGGGATTTAACCTGGCGTACGAGAGTCTGCCTCTCCATTTACTGAAGACCGTCAAGGAACTCCGTGAACTGCGCCTGAATCCGTATTATTTCGAACTTCACATATCCATTGATAATGCAGATTCAGGCCATGCTGCCATGGCCCTGGATGCAGTGTTAAACTATATAAAATTAGTAGCAGATGAACAAGGCGAAGAAGCAGCTCATGTTGCTTGGAAACGTGTACAAGCTGGTTACATTCTCGCCGAGGGCTTACCTACGACACCCGAGAGCCCGTCACTCAAATCAAAAGTCGAGGATTCGTTTCCCCGTACCGACACGGAAGCCCAAGTAGTAGCCATCTTTACAGCCAAAAGCTCCGTCGCCCACAAAATCCACTGTAACAGTCGTCTCAAAATCGGTAGACGCTCCCTCATAGATTGGCTAGAGCCAAACGCCTTCAAAGACCCAACATGGCAGCGAGACTTCCTCCACGACCTCAGCAACTGCAAACCCTGGGTAATCAAAGGCCACAGCGCCCAAAGCCGGCTGATCAAAGAACTCTCGTGGGAAGGTAAAATGTTCGGCAGCTTCACCGAAAACGAAGTGGGCATCGTCTCCGCCTGGATCAACGAGCTTGCTTCCCCACCAGCCACACTCGCAGCTTCGGACCTCCTCGATGCAGGAAAACAAGCCTACTACTGGGACTTTACCGGTCAAATCTCCGAACCCGATGATGATAACAATGTCGACGATGGCTTGCGCGCAGAGCGCTTGGACATTCTTACCCACTACCCGATTTTTCGCCCGCAGCAGCATCTCACGGGGCGCCTGTCGAGCGATCTTGCGATCGACTGCGTGCCGAAGTTGGACTTTTGTAAATTGCATCTAGGCAGTCTGCTCCCGCTGTGGTTCGCGGCGCCGGCGCTGCTCGAGGGCCTGCCGGCCGTGCCTGTCCGCGCGGCGAGCACGTTTGGATCTGCTGCTGTTCGTATTCTGCGGTCTCAAGCTGGCTTCAGCGCCGAAGGCGCGGGTGTAGCAGGCATGGACGAAGTCCACCGAACTGATGATGGCGAGGCGGTTGGCATCGTGGAACTTGGCCTAGAGTTGTGTCTTAATGCAGGCTACCAGCAGCCGTGTAATTTGCGCGAGGCAGTGTCGCTGGGCGAGCCCGAGTCAGCTGCTTTTGCGGAATGGATGGTTGCGACGAGTATGCGGTGGCTAGTGCACCGGGATGCCCTTGTTGGTATGGCTTGGGCGTTTATGGAACTGCACGAGGCCTGGACCCAGTGCAAAGGGGCGGTCCCGTTGTTATCTGCCAAGAGCATGGCCATCTTGCAGGAGATTGCGATTAGAGAGAGGAAGAATCTAGAAGTGTGTAGGAGCGAGATATACCAGCATAAGCAGCGTCGGGCGGATTTTCTCCAAGGAGTTGCAATAGGCAGGCAAGCCATCGAGTCATGTTTCACAAGAAGTCACTCAAAAGGTAAGATAGATGGATTTTCAAAGATAGGTTGAAGAATCAATTGATGCCTCGCGCAATGCCAAAGAGCCAAAGCCAGTGGCCCAAAATAATATATATACGAATTCCACCACAAACTGAGCTATATACAATCTCCCACACAAAAATTCATTTACAATGAAGGTACCTCGCCAGGAGCCGAGCAAAGAAGGCTCTACTTCTTGAGGGTAAGGAGACCGGGCCTGTAGGGGAGACGGTCGTAGTCGCCGCCAGAGTTGGGGGCACGGCCCTGGTACAACAGCTGCAGGTTGCAAGGGTCGACGGTCATGGTCTCGTCGTTGGTGACCTTGACAAGATCTCCGTGGGAGATGTCGTTGGTCCAGGTGGCACCGCTGTTGGCCTTGCCGGCGAAGGGGTTGCTCTCGGTGGCAGCGTTGGGGGTCCAGCTACCGCTGAGGCTGGAGGCAGTGAAAGAGCGGAAGTAACGGCCGCCAGAGCCAACAGCCTCAACGATCATGAGGTAACCGCCACCCTTGACGGTGTAGACCTGAACAGCCTCGAAGAGGTTGTTGGTGCTGTCGCTCATGATGACGGTGGAAGCAGTGCCGAAGCTGCCAGGGAAGTTGGCCTTGGGCATGCTGCTACGGTAGATCTTGCCGTTGTCACCGGCGAAGAAGAGGTACATGTTGATGGCGTCACCAATGACAGTCTGGTCAATAGCACCAGTGCTGCTGCCGGAGATCTTGCCAGAGAAGAGAGTCTGGACACCACCCCAGCTGTTGGGGTTGGTGGGGTCGCTGGAGGTCCTGTAGGAGAAGGTGGTAGGTCCCCACTGGTAGGCCAAGACCCAAATGTTCTTGGGAGCGAAACGGAAGAGGGTAGGGGCAACAGCAGTGAAGGGGGTGGCGGTCTGGGAAGCAGAGGCCATCTCGCTGAAGCTACCGAAGGGGCTGAAAGCCATGGATCCGTACTTGGATCCAGTGTCGTGGTCGGTAGCATAGACAATGTGCTTGCCGTTAAGGCTGGAGATGGTGAAATCCTTCAAGTTGGCCCATCCAGACTTGGGCTGGGCAAGAGCGCCGGAGGAGGTCCACTTGTAAGAGGTGGGAAGCTTGCAGCTCTGGGCCGAAGCAGTGGAAGCCAGAAGGGCGACGGCAGCAGCCGAGAAGCTAAGGTCGGGAACGAAACGCATGTTTGGTTTTTTGGGGTGTTTGGTAGTTGGTTGGTTGAATGAGTGAATGTGATGCTGGTGAGCTGGATGACTATTAGAACGAGGGCATGTATAAGATACTTATACCTGGAGCGATGCTGTCGGGCCTACGAATCAGAAGGCATGCCGTGTATCACGCCTTGCCCACGTACCGCTTGAGGGTTGGCCGATTCAGGACTGGGCTCGGGAACCTAGATCTCCTGAGCGTGGAAATTGATCATCCACATCATGCGTCTACTCTCGGTATGGCATATTGTTCCGTTGTTGTGGGTATATTAAATTACATGATGTTTCAAGGGAATTGACGCGACTGCACGGACGGCAATTCTCCGTAATGCGGGGAACGCACGGCAAAGGGCACGTAGGACTGCAGAAACAAGTGAGGCTGGGCAATTCCTTAATCTACTACTATATGCATGCTTAAATCCTAATGCAGGTATGTGCTGCACCCCATTCGCCTAACCCGCTAGCTTGGCGACTATGTTTTGACGTCGACGTCAATTCGTCTGATGTATGACCGGCCGACTACGTACCAACACTGCGCTAACAAGCAGTCCTGTTGGCGTCTCTTGCGCCGAACAAAGAAACATGGCCTGCTGCGCTGATTGCCAGGCCCCAATCTCGGCGGTATTGCTCCAAAAAGTCCCACCGGGTGTTTACTAGAATCCGCGAGTGTTCCTATCCGATGCTAGTCTCTCCACTAGAGCGAAACGTCAACACGCGATGAAACACCCGGTGGCCGGAATCTAGAAGCATGGGTGCCAGTGGCGCAAAAGTGCCACCAGTCGAAGGGCTGCCTCCGCTGCGCCCACAAGTCAAGACTTGGACTTAGCGGGTTTGAGGTTTGGCATTGCTTGATTGATGCCGCATGGACAGCTAGGGCGCGAGAAATTGTCCCTACACCGACGTCAACTGTGCTCTGCGCCTTAATCACGCAAAACTGCAAAACCACAATTATCGTGCTACAGCAGGGAGCCGCTGTAAGGAGCCGCCCAAAGGACGCGCATCTGCAGTTATGAAAACTATAACTGACGCAACACTCTCCGGCCATAAGCAAGGGCACTTTTTTGCCACTAAGCACTCTCAACTCCACTAAACAACATTCACTGTCAGTGGCCAGCAAACACGTGGGAGGAGGGTCAGCTTCTAGATCGACTCGCGGAATTTGTTCGGCCGCACAGATTAAAGAGTAGCGGTAACCACAGCGCTTGGATTGTACGCAGTACTTAGCCTTGCCAAGGCGGTTGTGAGCGTTGCCAATGTAACTCGGCCCACCTACCAAGCCCATGTCTAGAGTAAGGAGCATGCTGGACAAAAGATGCTCAAAAAATGCTACTTTGCACACCGGCTTTCGTCTCCCAAGGAGCAAATTGTTTACCACCCAACCAACATTAAACAGTACGTAAAAAAGTAACTTTTGCCGATTGCGCCCCTGGTTCAAAAAAAGTGCCCATATCAATCTCTGAACAATCCATCAAATATTCAACCTTTGAACCTTTTTCCCACACCGCTTGGCACATCTCCACTATTACACCGATAGAACACTACTTACAAATCTTCCGGAGTTCGCCCGCCAATGCCCGTTCCTGCGAGGTTGGGTGGGTGGGGTGGTGCAGGTGGATTCTCCTCTATCCGGGGTTTTTCTCCACGTCGGCTTTTGAACATCGCAAAGCTAGTGTAAAGTAGGTGTGGTGCTGGGCGCCCAGAATACGGAGTGGAACCGCCATTTCCCCCCGAACACTAAGAGAGCAGCTCCTAAGAGATAAAGAATGGAAATCCTACGTGGCGGTACGGTTCCCCCATGGGGGCAATGTCGTGATAGGCTTAGGTGCATGCACTCCTGATTCCTTCTAGCTGCGTGATGATGCTAGATTCCCGGCATATGCGCTATCTGCGCTGTACATAATTGAGTGATTACTTCCGACTGGAGGATTAAGTTCGTTCCAGTTAGTTATTGGTTCATTTTACCTGCCAGCCGCTTATGCACTATCCGAATTGCCATCCTTTTTTCTCCATAGCTTTTTCCATAGCTTTTCCCCATTACAGATTAATCCGGCTAAGACGGACTAAGACAACATCCGAGGTTCAATTGAAAACAAACTTGGACCAAGCAAGTTCTAGTTTCGATCGTTGTGACAAATGTTTCTGTTCTTGACTCGAGCCGCCTCGTCGCCTACGTTAAACAAAACATCGCTAACAGTGTAGCATCTCTACTCACCCGCTACAAGACTAGCCTTGGAAATATTTAGACTAGCCTATTAATAGGTGTTTTATACATGCTAGTTGTACATAATATTGCGTGCATCATAAGAACGCCAAACAACTTGCTTGTGCGCCACAAACGCCATTCTAGAATACGCACCGCCAAGACACCCCCCCAGTGACATGCTGCGCACGTGACATCAACTCACGTGTCCCCAAAAAACATCTGTGACAGCTGATGTTACAAACAAGACTGACAGCCGATTGAAACAAGTCAGCAAGTACCGAGGACTCTATTTATGGCTTACACTGATTGTGTCCTGACGTTTTGTCGTTGTTCTGTAACGACCTGTAACGTGTAGCTTACATTTAGACTTTTATGTTATCCCGCGATCGGCCAAAGTTTAAATGATACCGGCGGGCTGGCACCCAGACCAACTCCCGAGCTTTGTTTTCGCGTAGGGTTACTCGGGACGATTTACGAGGTCCCTGGTGTAAGTTACTTACGTTTGTGGCCTGGGGTTTACAAGCTGTCATATAGACATGGTATTGCCAATTATAGTATGGAAGAATTCTGATTCATTGTAGCGGTGGATATGCCTGTTTCGGTAATTTATATATTACTCACTGTACAGTGGTGGTGTGACTTTCTTCATTTGCAGCATTCTGTTAAGTAGGTATCCACAAAGCGCACTGATATTGCAGAATAAGCTCTACCAAGCAAGGTGCGCAAGGGCAAATACAACGTTCCTGCATCATGACCCCGGTGCACTTGGACCTTTTTTTATAACTACTTCAAATCAAAAGAATTGCCGCTAAGGGTCTAGCAAATGCACATGCAAGTATGATGACTGGAATCCCTTGCTGAAAAATGCATGTCGTAATCGAAAAGACCTAGCATCACCCTTGATCTTAATGTTCCGAAAAAAATCCAAGATGAGAGCACTCAGTATAATGAGTTTTGCCACCCCTATCGGTCAGACTGATCCTTCGTTGGTGGAAAAACCTCACCGAACTTCATGGGTGTCCGCAAGCTAGAAGTAATGCCTAGGATATAATCAATCAGATATCTGAAACACAGTGAGCACGTGCACATACTCATGATTGTATGTTCCCCTATATCCTAGTGCCTGTCGCACCACCAACGAGGCTAGTAACTTTTGCGTGTCCAATATACACGGTTTCCAGTCGCTTGTGGTCGATCTTGGTCTTGCAAGTTTCTGCCTGATCATAGGTAAACACCATCATCACCCTCATCTTGCGCTGTGGTGCCGTTGGTGCCCTCTTCCCTCGTCGCGCCGTTCGTCGCAGCAGGTGCACTTCCATTCGTTTTTCCGTCTTCTTCCTTTGGCTTCCATGGCAGACCTCGCACATCCTGTACCTCGTGCTTGATGGCTTCTTTCCTCTCTTCAAACCTCTTCATAACCTGCTTGTTTTCCAGAAGGGCCTCGTAGCAGTCCTTGTCGTCATGTTCGCGCGCAAACTCCTCAAGTTGCTGGTTGCTTGATTCGAGATGCTTGAGTTGATTTGTGAGTTCCGAGTATTTTGCGTAGAGCGATTCAACAGAAAGGTCTTCTAGCGCTTTGGAGAACCGTGTGAAGGAGATGGGAGCAGCGTCGGCAGACATGGTTGATGTGAATACAGAAAACTGGCCTGGAGTTGCAGATGTGCTTCTAGGTTTGAGTATCGTTGTAGAAGTGACGAGCGGTCCGTAGCTCTTTGTGCAACAGGTTTTCAGTGAGAAGATGCGGTGGTGGCGGAAGTCCAGAGGTAAAGCTGTTCTTGCCCGAAAGTTGTGGTGGGGTAGCTGACGCCATAACGATTGACCCCACTTCACTCACAATTGCTGCAGTGAAGGGTGATTACCAGAAAAGCTGTAGAGACCATGTCTGTTTGTGTTTGATAGTTGTTGATGGATATGGGTGATTCAATGACCTTTGCGTTGAGTATATAACTTGAAACATTTTGTTTATCTTTAAATCATGGCACTTTGGCGGAGTGGTTAACGCGCTGGCCTGCTAGTCCCATTCGGGAAAGTCAGCCAGTTCCTTCGGGAGCGTGTGTTCGAATCACACAGGTGTCGCACCAACCACGCATTCCTTTTTTGATTTTTGTCAAGCACTCTTCATGATCATCCTACGGCTGGTCTTTGGATTTTTTGCTCCTTGTATGAAACTTTTGCTCTCATAATTGGTATCTTGGTTTGTGTGACAATTTTCGCAAAATTTAGTATTCATTCTAAATGCTGATAATAGTTATCAAATATTATAATGAGTGAAAAACAAACGTAAGGACATGGTGGGCGTACAGGGCTTTCCACGTTGACGAGATCAGCTGTGTTGGAATCAATTAGGACTCGACTTTGAGTCCTACTGATCCGCGACACTGATTGGTCGACACGAGCACTGGCAAAGGCGTCGTCACCGCCTATTGGCCCGTGCGCGGAGGTACTGTAGATACTCAACACGATAACAGATACAATCAATCAATCCGCTTCCTCACTATAGTATTTGCAGCTGCAAGTTGATTCACCACGTGCACCTTTATCGTGCCAACAAGCTGCTTACAAATTAATCATTGTAAGCGTATTATGATTTTCGTCATACCTGAATTCCATATATAATATTTTCGAACTAGACAATTCGGCTTCATGGTGAATAAATCCAAATTAACAGAAAGGCGTTACACATATAACCACAGATCAGTAGAACAACATCACGAGTGAAGTTATCTTACAGTTTAATAATACACGGTACTCAATTGATATTCTCTGGTACTGTCTCCATTACCTACCTGGGTTCATACCAGGCATAAGATCCGGCTTATCAAGCACCATACCCCTAAGCAGAATCCACTGTCTCAGACCCTCCCATTCCTCGCCCTCCTCATCACCTCGTCTCCACTCCTCCTTAAACCCCCATGCACACGCAATGCGATCCAACGCCGCACGCTCATCCTCTCTCAGATAACGATCCAGGAGCGGAACACCAGGACGCCAGACAACACGGTCGTGATGGTCGTTGTATGTAGTCAAGGCGACAAAGCCAAGGGTACCGGTACACATAACGTAAGTACTCAGACCAGCGAAAGCGTAGAGTTTAAAAGTCCACGGGTCGATGAAACCGCTGTATACAGAAAGTTCCTGCGCAATCATGTAGAGAGCGAGGGGTGTGATGCCCGCTAGAACTCCCGGAAGACCCAATTTGGTGACCATGCGGTGGCGCCGCCAGGCAGGGGCGCGGTAGGTGTGGTCGACGACATCCAAGGCCAAGGCAAGGTCCTTTGCGTCGATTGCGGCCGTGAGCGCTTCATCGGCGAGATCGGCGGGAATGGCTTGCTTTGCGGCTTTGGGGGAGGAACAGGAGAATTTGGGGGGCGAAGAGCCTTCGACTGGGATAGGCTTGTTTGCGTAGAGGTAGAGTGCTTCTGGGATGGTTTTTGGGCGGGCGAGAAGTCGCTGGAGATGGATGTATAAGGCGAGGACGTTGGGAGAGAGGAAGACTTTCTCGTGCTTGATTAGGTCTTCGGCGAGTTTGGAGAGGTAGGATGGCGACGGGAGTGCATCGAGGCCTAGCTGCTTTGACCTTATTTTCTTTTCAGTCTTTTCCCCCTCATCGTTGCCGAGTCCGGACAGTATTGCTCCCGCTGAACTTTGTCTTATGGGTCCTTTTGTTCGCAAGGGCTGTCGGGACCGTATCGCTATCGCATTTTGCGCAATCTCCGTTAAACCTTCAAGTACCTCCAAGACCTTTGCCTCTGGCTCCACCTTGGGGGAATCGTAGATTTCTTTTATTCGAGCCTCCACCGCGGCCAAATTTGTTCTCAGCGTTGCGATGCGCTCCGACGTCTGGAAGCTTTCGTCATCGCCTCTTTCAGCTGCTGGTGCCGCGTTCCGGGCCGTCGTCGTAATGCTTCGTACGTGTGCCCGGTTGACTAGAGAAGATGATGGCGCAGTTTGCCGCCGTGTCGCGGGGGCCTTGACGGCTGATGTGAAGCGGAACGCGCGGCGACTTCCAGGCTGCCGCAGTATGTAGTCGCACAATTGACATACTGGGCGCGATTGGGGGCGCATTGGTAATTTTCCAGGGTTCATCGGGTGTGGTC